TTTGGGTTCGCATCCACCGCGGGGGCGCAACTATAGAGTCACTGGCTTGGGCGTAGGCGAGGTTGCATGCCAGGAGTTCTTCGTGTACTGTTTCCGCGGTGAGGATGGACCTGGGCCCAAGACTGGTCATGGTGTGGGTGTTGACGCCGTCGATTTGAATCTTAAACCATTTTTTGTCTTCTATGACACTTGTGTTGTATCCTTGGTCGATTAGCGGAATGAAGAGCTCTGCGTATTGGAGCAGATCTGCGGCGCGTTGGTCAGCACGCGTTGAGACGATGAGGTTACCTTGGTTATTGTAGGTTGCAGTTACAGCTCTGATGTGCTTGGCCTTGAGGGAGGGTGCGTTGGCGAGGGCGTTGTTGATTGTATTGACTATTACCATTGGGTCTAGGCGGTCTTCGTCCCTAATCCCGTCAGGCAGGAAACGGATGACCGCTCGGCTTGGGTGATGGGCCGATGCTGGGTTGGTGCTCTTCTTGGTTGGTCCCGGGTTTCCCTCAGTTTTCCCTTTGGGTTTGAACGTCGGGCCAGTGGCGTGGCTTGTTGTGTGGCTTGGGTTTGAGGTGGGTTCCGTGTTTCGTGTTTGGGGTCCAGCACCTCGGTTTTCCAGGTTTGCGATTCGTGACTGAGTGTCGGTGGCCAGGGATTCCAAGGCTTTGAGCCGGTCTGAGGTTGCTGTTAGGCTGTTGGCTGTCTCATTCTTCATGTGTTCAATCTTTTCTCCGTTGTTCTGAACATTCTCCATGATCGTCGCCATGTTCTCCATGGTCGTCGTCATGTTCTTGCTGATCTCGTGGATTGCCTTCGCGAGGCCTGCTTGCTGTTCCATGATGACTCTGTATGGCTGGTTGAGGAGCGCGTTTGATAGGCCCGTCATGCATCCTGTGATTTTTTGGTCAGTCCTTGCAATATCCATTTCTCCCCCACTCTCCAATGCCTGTACGAAGAACCCGGCGTCTAAGAGGGAGTTGTATAGGTGATCTAACTTCTCGTCCCTGCTCATCGAGCGATCTGCGAGGTGGCTGAATCTGTCGGCCTGTATGGATTCTTGGTCGATTCCCCTTTGGTCATTTTCGTCTCCGGATGACTCGATGTCTTCGTCCCATGGGACGCGCCGGTTTGGGTCGTTCTGGTCTCCCATGGTCATGTCTACGTCGTTGTAGGACTGCGGGGTTGGGGTGGTCGCGCGTTCTGCGTCCAGCGCCCTTTTCTTGTTTCCTATTAGTACGCTCTTGATTTTCGCCGGGGACGTGTGGGTGACTGATTGCGCCATTCTACCTACCCTTCCGACCGCGTTCTCCAGGAAGGAGGCGGTCGTGCCGGATGGGGTCTGTGGTCGGGTTTGTCGAGCTGTCCGTTGGGGGCGCGTCGCGCCTCCCTCCGGTTGGGTGGGTTTGGTGTACTGGGTTGGGATGGGTTGGGAGTATCTTTGTGAGGCATGTGTGCTTGGGGAATTATGTTTATGGGTTTTTCTATTGCTACTGTCTGTGTTCTCCTCCATACTGCTTCGACTTTTGCACGGCCTGGACCGTGGGAAAGAAGCGTATGTGGAAGTTCTAGATCAAGAAGCGGTGGATAACTTGAGTTGTTGGACGTTTTTTTCAAACCGAGATATGAATATATGATTACTTGAAGTCTGCTTATCTTTCTTGAATGCACAGCTCCGTTCATGGCCAAGGTCGGTGGGTTCCTCGTTTATGTCTTTCCGCCTCTGTGATGATTTTCTCTTTCAAGGTCATGTATCTTTATGGATGAAAATTCCGTGGCACTGCGGCGTAAGTACCGACTGCAATCGCCCAGCTTTACATTATGGCATCAAGTCTCTGTAGAACGGTTAGGTGATGAAGGGTTACAAAAAAAAATTGAAAGTATGCTCAACGACGGGAGGATGAGTGTCCCAGCCAGCGGGCGTGGTGCGTAGGTCTAAGAAACAATACGCGACCGAATTACCGTCTACATCTACTGCGCACTTGGTCGCGGGGGAATGGAGCGAGCCCACTAGACCAACAAGTATGGTTCTAAAAGTGAACACAAAGTCTGAAAGGGATGCTGTCGTCTCCTCGATGCGCCTGTACACTGCGCCGTCTCCAACGTCTGGGGACTGAAAGCCCTCCGAAGACACCTTCAACTCGAGCGGCTTCCCGGCAGAAATGCGCATGATTTCGTCACATAATCCGACCCAAGACATCCACCAAAAGGGTGCTTGCCAGAGATGGAAAAGTCGAATGAGAGGTTCGTGACTTGATTGGATGCAGATATCTTACAGGACGATATTGATATCGCGGAGAGCACCAGACTCTTTTTCATTGCTGAGAATGGCGTTTGAAAGCGGAGTCACAGTGACCGATCGCTTCGTTACTGAAAATTTCTTCAGCTTCAAGAAAACATTCGTATTGTTACGGTACACGCTTGGGAGATCGCAGGTGCCAGGGAGGCCTTTAGGCTTCAAGCCTTCTGCAACTTTGCGTATTCCGGTTGAAATCCAGTGGCTGGTAGATCATTTGACGGTAGCGGTGCTACTCGAATCCCCCACAACTAGTTGTCGCGGGAATCGTCATTTTCTGTGAGTGTTGTGGTTTTCTCATTGGTCCTTTCTTTATTCAATCTCTTTCGATTCACAGGGCTGGCTTTCATTTCGATTCGGAACATACCCCAGCTTGGATGGTTCACAAGTTATTGAATTCCTTCGTTGTTTACTGGCCCATCTGGCCTCGAAAAGGCGCACGACTTTGTCGGTATCCTTTTGCTCAGTCCATGATATGTTGACTTGGGACTCGCCTACTCCATTGAATCTCCCAAAACTTTCTTCCCCCACATTTCGCCTATAAATTCATAAAACGCTAAGGATCAGGGCATTGTATCATGTAAACATCTTTTCCCCCCGGGCCGTGGGTGTGAATCCCGCTCTCATCATCGCTCTCAGAACTGCTGTAAGAAATCTTTTTCATGCATGCATAGCGGACTATGTCTTGACATGTAAGTCCTTGGACATTATTCTTGCTTTTCAGCTGAAATAGGGCACTCTTTAGACCTTCTTGTGTGCCAAAACTCTTCATAAAACGAACTTTAGAGCCCCCTTCACGTGCAGCCAACTTCACCGTAGCTCTTAGGAGGCTGCAGTCCCAAAATGCCCGCTGGCGCTTCAGTCGTTGGTTTTCTCACATAATTGTTGTCCCATTCTCTACAATCCACCTTCTATAACGACGTCACTTGACTACTTCATTTCCTTCGTTCCCTCACCCTCGTCTTCTTCACCATACCTCCCAGATCTTTCACTACGCCACCACCATCCAGCTTCGACAGATCCATGACAAACTGAATGAGGGTCACGCATCCAAACAACGGGAGTCTTTCGACCGTCGACGTCGCCAAAGGCTCGTCCGTCGTTGTTACATCTCCAAGACTTGGTAAGCCCTCTGATGGAGTCGGCGGATGCAAGGGAGGCTAATGACCTTAAGAGTAACAAAGGAAAAGTTGAGTATGACTGAACGATTGGACTATTTGAGGGATTTCATCGATGGCAAGGATATCCATGACATTGGGTTACGTCGCTCCGAGTGATATGCGACTAGAGATCATCTCATATTGAGTTTGTGCTTTCTCTTCTCTTCTTTTGAGGTCTGAACCTGTTTGCACTCTAGCTTCCTGGGTCAGCGGGCCAAGCGAAGTCGATGCCCATGCATCTGATCACCGACTGACGGTACTGGCTACAAGCTCAATAATTGTCGTTCTCATCAAGGACGTCGGACTTCAACAAATCCATATCAATGGACTCGCGCATGTAACGACCTTCATAAGTACTGCCATCTCTTCATCGAGTTCTCTTTCTGCTTACTTACACAAAACAATTTTGATATTAGTTCTTGATGCACTCAGAACGTGGTCGCAAATAAGTTCGACGTAGAGGAGCTTGAATACGCCACGTACATCGGTGCATTCGGTTAATTCTGACGGACAGTTGTTGCATAGGCTCCCTCCCCTCTCGGACCCAAAGGTCAACGACGCATGCCCTTTCATTTAGCTCCTCACATACGAGCTTGGATCCCACGATTGAGGAATCCGCTCGCTCGCAAGTCAACGTGACCACCAACTAGGAAGGCTTTAGGTTGTTGTCTAGGATTACCACGGAGGCGATGATTCGTTGACTGAGGATCATGAGGTGCATAGGACACTTTCTGTAGAGGACAGTGCGCCGTACGTATGAGCGAGTTACAGCCCCTCTCACAAGTGGATTTTGCCAGTCCACTTCCCCTCCCATTCCTCCTCTAAGCAACCAACGCAGCCGCTTCATCCTCCTCTTCCCACACACTTAAACGTCGCAACCTTCTCTTCGAGCTGCGAGATTTCTTGGACATCTACTTCTACTCAGCTCACTATCATTGATACCGCATTCAATCGCTTATGGTTACTCTCTTAGGCTATGGTGGATTTGATGTCGTTCTGGATGTGCGAAATAAAATGCCGCATTCTCATCCTTTCGTCCCCTAGAGCCCTGTAAAAGGCGTCGCTTTCTCACACGTCCGTTGATCGCGGTCCTACTTACTGAGTTGATGCAAAACCTCGCCAGTGTCCCATTTTGAAGGCCGTTCCTCCGAGCTCTAAGTGAAGGCTCCCACCATCCTCCAGTAACAGCATCGTCACGGGCTTGAAAGGAGCACTGATGAATCAGGTCAGCTGACTCTGTGAAACGGTCTGGTACCCATTTTGAACGTTGACGCCGCACAGCATCAACATTCTCTTTCAAACCGCCATGTCTGATTCCAGTCGCCCCCGCGAAAATCGCCTGAAAGGCAAGTTCAAGGGATTGCTTGATCGACTTGTGGGCGCAGACCGCCTGCGTAATGAACGCCCTAGCGGTTCAAGGTTAGAGTTCATGACTCCCACCTGGAAGGTAGCATCCTGACGAGATCTAGGTCGACATTGGTGACAAGGGCGCTAGAGGTTAGGGGGGAGGGAACATCTCTGGTCTGTGTTTACGATGCACAAACAACTTCTTCAGCTCATATCCTTTGCTTCGGGACCCCAGAATGTAATGCAGGGAGCTCGCAACATCAACATGAGAGATTCCACACTCTATGTGGCTCAAAATGTGTGTCCTGTGACCATGGCGTTGATTGTTTCAGACATTGATAGGACTTTTTGTCATGATGCAGGTTCATGACAATGCCAGCAGGGGCCAAGATGATACACTTCTTGTTCCCCAAAGACCAAGTTCAAATGCCTTATTTACAGGTCGCGAGGACATTCTCAAAAAGCTGAAGAATCACTTTGCACCTACAGTCTCCACAGATCAGAATAGAAAGTTATTTCTATTGTATGGTATGGGAGGAATTGGAAAGACTCAGATTTGTTTGAAGTTCATTGAGGAGGTGGCTGACAGGTAATCTTTCTTCTTTTACTCTTTCTTTTTCAGATCTTCTCAAACTATGTATAGATTCTCCCATATCTTCTGGATTGATGCATCATCTGAGGACACCATAGCTCTTGATTTACAGGGTCTTTGCTTTCATCCTGAGGCTAAAGCTGCTAGTATCACTGTGTCCTCTCAGTCTGCTCTTATGTGGATTGCATCTCTTCAGAGTGAATGGCTACTGGTGTTTGACAATGCTGATGGTGAAGTGGTAAAGAAATTTGTCCCATCTGGTTCTAAGGGGAATATTCTGGTTACTAGCAGATATCCATCTCAACAGGTTACATCTTATGAAAACTGTCTTGAGATTGACCGGATGGCTGAGAAGGAAGCCATATCACTCCTGCTGAAAGCCAGCCATCTAACTGAGCAGTCAAAGGGTGTCCACAGCATAGCTAGGCAGATTGTACTTGAGCTCCGCTGCTTACCTATGGCTGTTGATCAAGCAGGAGCTTCTATTGAGGCTGGTCTCTGTAGTATTGATAGTTATCTTGAGCATCTCTCTCAATATAGGAATAAGCTTATGAACCACCCTTCATTTAGGGAGGTATCTCAGTACAACCGTACCATCTATGAAACTTGGGATTTGTCATTCAATGAAATTCAATTAAGGGCAAAGAAAAAATCTGATGGGCATGGTAGAGCAGCTGCTCAGGCTGCTGTTCTTATTCTTGGAACTGCTGCATTTCTACATCATGAGAGTATCGCTGAGGCTGCTTTTAGAAAGGCTGCTATGGGGTTCTCCAAAGGACAGCATGGTAGACTGGAAAGAAAAGTTGGAATTACTATCAATCAATTGCTTCAGCTGGGAAAAGATCAGTCTTGGAATCAATATTTCTTTCATGAAGGAATTACAGTCCTTATGTCATTTTCTTTGATCAAGCAGTACTCGACCTCTCCAGGAATCTATGCCATTCATCCATTGACACATCAATGGAGTAGAGATAGGATGTCAATATCTGAAAAGAGATGCATGATGCAAGTGTCAAAATTGATCCTTGTAAACTGTATTACAGAAGGGATGACGGCTGAGAACATTGCATTCAACAGACTTCTTGTACCACACATCAAAGCCAATTACCAGTCACAAAAAGAAAGTGGCTTTAAAAAATTGTTTGATGATAATGAATATTGCAGGTTCAGTTATGTATTGAATGAAAATGGAATGTGGAATGATGTGGAGTACCTTCAATATCAAATGGTACAGATAGATATAAAGAAGTTGGGCACAAAGCATCCATTGACACTGACCAGCATGGCAAATCTTGCAGTCACATATTCAAAACAAGGAAAATATGAGGAGGCTGTAGAGCTGCAGCTAAAGGTCCTGGATATGCATAAAAAAGTCCTGGGCCCAGAACATCCATCAACATTGACCAACATAGCTAATCTTGCAAGAACATATTCAGATCAGGGAAAATATGATGAGGCTGAAGAGGTGCAGCTGAAGATCTTAGATCTGTGTAAAAAAGTGCAGGGGCCAGAAGATCCATGTATCATAGCAAGCATGAATGATCTTGCAGCAACATATTCAAAGCAAAGAAAATATGATAAGGCTGCAGAGGTGCAGCTGAAGGTACTGAATCTGTATAGGAAGGCCCTGGGGTCAGAACATCCAAATACCTTGACTAGCATGAATAAGCTTGCAGCAACATATATAAAGCAGGAAAAGTATAAGGAGGCTGGGGAGCTGAATGTGGAAGTTCTGAATTTGCATAAAAAGGTGCTGGGGCCAGAACATCCAGATACCTTGACCAGCATGAATAATCTTGCAGCAACATATTCAAAGCAAGGAAAACATCAGGAGGCTGGGGAGCTAGAGCTGAAAGTCCTGGATTTGTGTAAAAGAGTTCTGGGGCCAGAACATCCACATGCCTTGACCAGCATGGCAAATCTTGCAAGAACATATTCAGTTGAAGGAAAACATGAAGAGGCTGGAGAGCTGGAGCTGAAAGTCCTGGATCTGTGTACAAGAGTGCTGGGACCAGAATATCCAGATACCTTGACCAGCATGGCAAATATTGCAGCCACCTATTCAGACCAAGGAAAATATGAAGAGGCTGGTCAACTAGAGCTGAAAGTCTTGGATCTGTGCAAAAAAGGTGCTGGGGCCAGAACATCCACATACCTTGACTAGCATGGATAATCTTGCATCAACATATATAAAGCAAGGAAAATATGTGGAGGCTGGGGATTTGGATGTGAAAGTCCTGGATAGTGTAAAAGAGTGCTGGGGTCAGAACATCCAGATACCTTAACCAGCATGAATAATCTTCCACTCATATATTCAAAGCAAGGAAGATATGAGGAGGCTGAACAGCTGCAGCTGAAAGTACTGGATGTGTGCAAAAAAGTGCTGGGGCCAGAACATCCACATACCTTGACTAGCATGAATAATCTTGCATCAACATATATAAAGCAAGGAAAATATGTGGAGGCTGGGGAGCTGGATGTGAAAGTCCTGAATATGTGTAAAAAGTGCTGGGGCCAGAACATCCAGATACCTTAACCAGCATGAATAATCTTGCACGCAAATATTCAAAGCAAGGAAAATATCAGGAGGCTGGAGAGCTAGCAGCTGAAAGTCCTGGATCTGTGTAAAAAAGTTCTGGGGCCAGAACATCCAGATGCCTTGACCAGCATGAATAATCTTGCATCAACATATATAAAGCAAGGAAAATATGTGGAGGCTGGGGAGCTGGATGTGAAAGTCCTGGATATGCATACAAAAGTGCTGGGGCCAGAACATCCAGATACCTTGACCAGCATGGCAAATCTTGCAACCACATATTCACACCAAGGAAAATATGAGGAGGCTGGAGAGCTGGCACTGAAAGTCCTGGATCTGCATAAAAAGGTGCTGGGGCCAGAACATCCAGATGCCTTGACCAGCATGAATAATCTTGCATCAACATATCTGAAGCAAGGAAAATATGAAGAGGCTAGGGAGCTGGATGTGAAAGTCCTGGATATGCGTAAAAAAGTGCTGGGGCCAGAACATCCAGATACCTTGACCAGTATGGCAAATCTTGCAGCCACCTATTCAGAACAAGGCAAATATGAGGAGGCTGGAGAGCTGGAGCTGGAAGTCCTGGATCTGCATAAAAAGGTGCTGGGGCCAGAACATCCAGATACCATGACCAGCATGAATAATCTTGCAGTCAACATATTCAGAAGCAAGGAAAATATGAGAAGGCTGAAGAGCTGGACTTGGAAGTCCTGAATATGCATAAAAAAGTGCTGGGGACAGAACATCCAGATACGTTGACCAGCATGGCAAATCTTGCAAGCACATATTCACTTCAAGGAAAATGTGAGGAGGCTGGAGAGCTGGAGCTGAAAGTCCTGGATCTGCATAAAAAGAGTTCTGGGGCCAGAACATCCAGATACCTTGACCAGCATGAATAATCTTGCATCAACATATCTGAAGCAAGGAAAATATGAAGAGGCTAGGGAGCTGGATGTGAAAGTCCTGGATATGCATAAAAAAGTGCTGGGGCCAGAACATCCAGATACCTTGACCAGTATGGCAAATCTTGCAGTCACCTATTCAAACAAGGCAAATATGAGGAGGCTGGGGAGCTGGAGCTGGAAGTCCTGGATCTGCATAAAAAGGTGCTGGGGCCAGAACATCCATATACCATGACCAGCATGAATAATCTTGCAGCAACATATTCAAAGCAGGGAAAATATGAGAAGGCTGAAGAGCTGGACCTGAAGATCTTAGGTCTGCATGAAAAGGTGCTAGGGCCAGAACATCCATATACCTTGACCAGCATGAATAATTTGGTTGTTACATATTCAAAGGAAGGAAAATATGATGAGGCTGCAGAGCTGCACCCACTTCACTATCCATCCCCCTTTCCAGCTGACCTCCTTTCTCACCTCCCCTTTTCTGACCAATCATACTCTGAATTTGTCTACTCAACTACACACAACCAGAATGCTACACCTCATCCATCCAGCATGTCTTCTAAGCCTCAGGCTTTTCCATATGCACAGTCAGTGTTTTCACTTGGCGCCATACAAGATACCCCCAAAGATGTCAAATTTGCTTCCAGCTTGAAGCTACATACTCAGGACAAAGTGAAACAACCAACTAATGAGTCTGTAATTGGCAAACATTTTGTCATAGGAGCAGAGAGTGCACTTGAGGGTATTCAGGGTAAGGAGACGGTCATTGAAACAGCCTTTGCAGACTTCCAAATTTCTACATCAGAGTATGCCATCTTGGCTGGCTTCAATGAGGCCCTCCTGTTGTCAGGAACAGGGTACCTGCCAGAGATTCACATATTCTGTTCTGTGGACATCACTGAAAGAGCTGAATCCTTTGTTACCAAACTTGGAAAGATACTCTCTCCAATCCCTGGGGCACTTTTCACACCCTTCTCCATGTACCAGATACCTGTATTCAAAAATGATGAAACCCTTCTGAGCTGGGATGAGCTTGTGTTCTCTCGAACAGAGGGATATGCTGATATCTGTTCCACTGTTGCACCAACTTCAATTCAGGTTGTGTCCTGTCCACAAGGCTCTTGCAGTAACAGTGGAACATCTGCTCCTTCAGGCTTCAGTGGGAACGAATTGAAAGGTAGTGATTCTGATAAGAAAGATACAGATGATGAAGGGAAAGAAGATGATGAGGATCAGAAATCTGGGGATGGTGAAGGTGATGATGGCAATCCAGATGATGAAGATCCTAATGACGATCCTGATGATCCAAAGGGCAGTAGCTTGACCTCCCTGTTGCCAGTCATTTCCTTTGATGCTCAAGCCAAGGTCTATGCTACTACTGCAGACATTGTGTCACCAAAGGTCCTTCAGAAGCTGCAGATCAATGGGAGGCTTATAATAGAGGTGAGTTGTTTACTCTTTTCTTGACTAGAAAATTGACACCTCAAAAAGTCCCATGCTCCATGCTCAAAACCAAAACAATTGCCAAAGATATGCATACAATTCAAGAAGTTGAAATTTCAAGGCTAGCGAGCAATTCCGACCATGGGCTATGAGCAGGTCCATGCTAGAGTGGTGATAGATGTTAAAGAGGAACTTACAAGAGTGGATGCGATCAAACCTTCTCGAACTCCTGCAATAAGTCTTGAGAGCACAGAAGTTACAACCCAACAGAGCAACTCTGCACTAGGCTTCTCAAGCTCTGCAGGGTTTGGTTCACCATCCATCAAGGCAATGTTTTCAGGACATTTTGGAGCAGAGTCTTCGTCGTACCTGGAGATGAGAAACTATGGATCACGGATTACCCAGGGTGACAGTGATGGTGTTGTTTGGTGGGGGTTTAACATTGATGACCCACATGAACAGGAGGCAGGTAAAGAGCTCCTTGATACCCTCCCAAGTGTGGAGTTTGAGTTCCTTGGAAAGAATGCATCTTTGCCTACTCAGTTACATGTTGAGGTCACTTCATGTTGGTCATTGATTTCAAGCATTGAAAACAGGCAATCCTGGATACAGGCATTGATTGGGCTGGCAAAGCCAAAAGGTCTCTCATACTCCAATCTGTGCCAGATTGTCCAGTTGGAGATACCCAGTACACTACTGGAGGATTGTGAATACAAGTCTCTTACAGATGTGAAACAGTCTGGTTGTCATACACAGGTTAAACTCTTTGAAGGCTCTGATTTGGTAACCATTACACCCTCCATCTTGTTTTTGGATGGGCCTGGTCCACCACATTCTGGTATGTAACACAGTTCACAAAATGCAGGAATGAAAAATTAAAATTCATTCCAAATCATAGGCATCTTACATGAGTAGCTCATCCAGTCAGAATCCAGAACCTGTCTAGTATATTTAATGATAGTATATATGTAGTACATACATGTGTTCTGGTAGTTTGCTCATAAAACTAACCTGGTTGCATTACTTCCTTCTGAATGTATATCACAGTATTGCTGCCCTGATCATACCATTTTATCATAGCTCCAAGAATTTTCTCATCATTGATATTGAAAATGTAGTTTTTCTCCATGATGAGTGTTGTGTCTTAACATTGCCATGGTCAACTTACTGATACCCAGTATGACCAAGAAAATATTCACTAACCTGCTACCTAGAGGATGGATCAGCATTTTCCCATTCCCAGAGGGCATCATGAGTAGCATTTGGCAGGCACCCATACAAATTGACTTGGTCTGGATTCACAAGATTGTAAAAGTTGTGCTGTCAAGTCACCCTCAGTACCATAACCAATCGAAAAAAACAAAGGTAACTGAAACCAACACTGAGGAGAAGCAGGGTTCTATGCATTATATATCCCTTCAAACCTAGCAGTGATATTGGCATGCTGGGTCACAGGATCATTCTGCTGCTGCCCCCAAGGGGGTACTGGGAATGCATGCCATGACCCGAGGTAGGGGGGGGGATAGGTCTGTGAGGCCTTAAAAACATTTTTTTAGAGGTCAGATTTCATGTGTTTTGGCATATTTTGGAATAGGCTTGAGTAAATTGAAGGTCTGGCACTATGTTAAGCCAATCCTGCTTCCTGTTTGAGTTTACTGGTCTATTTCTATGCCTCTTGATGCCCCAAACTTGAAAAATTCTCACTGCAGACACATTATCCCTGTATAAGTCCATGTACTCAATTATTTGAAGAGACTTGCAATTGGTTTGCAGCTTGCTGCTCATCTGATCTGATCCAGCTGATGGTTTTTAGCCTGCTTGGACATTTAAAACATGGTAATATATGTGTATTCAAGTATTTTAGATTCAGTTTAAAGCTGGAAAGTGTTACAGACTCTTTTTCCTTATATGTACAAACACACACAGACACTTACACATTCCTAAGATGCATCTAGACTATACTGGACAGTTCTAGATACACGTTCCAGCTATATTCCTTTCTTGACTCATTCTTATTTAGATTTTTTTTTTTTTGACTCATACTTACTTAGATAGACTTATATGACTCCTTCGTAGTCATATGACTCACATAGACTTAGTATGATTCATATGACTCATACTTCTGACTTGTATTCTGACTCATACCCTTAGTATATAAGTAGGCTACTTTCATTTGTATTCAATAGCTTGAACCTAGGCAATCTAAGCTTAGTTCTCCCTCAGAAACCTTGGAATTAAGATTGCCCTCAAACTCTATAGTCTTTCAACTTAGAGTCTCTTTTGAAACCTTGACAATAAGTCTTCAATGTTGAAGATTTAATACACGTTTAGACTCAGTAAAGTCAGCATATCATAGAACCTTGTACAGACCCTCAGTCACAAGGCTACTAGAACCTACTGTGTCTCTTATAGGGCTAAGAGAACATTGTAGTGACCTGCTTTGTCTCAAGATGAGAACTGTGGCAGACAAATGAATGACAAAGAACTCGACAAGCTTAACATAACTGCCTGTTACACTTAACAACCATAACAGAAAGGCTTCCTGGCCCACCAGCACTACAGCTAGGAATTTCTTCAGAATAAGTGTGGAAAGAAACATACCTTTTTTGGACAAAAAACATACCCTATTTAGAAGGTGGCATGGAGGGGGAGGTCCTGAGAGCCTTAACCAAAAAAAATCTACCCCATGTAGTTTTTGTATTCCCAGGGCCCCCTTGGCTGTCCTGACCCTCCAGCAGATCTAGAGAAAGAAGACTCCCAGCAGTAAACTGCAGCTGTTGTGGCTGCTGCCTGCTCCCAAAAGTGCTGGTTCCCAGGGTACTACTCCAAAAGAGATTTTTTCTGCCCAACAGCAGATTGGCATTGGTGGTACTCCCAAATAAATTGGATTGCTGTTGCTAGCCACCCCTGAACAAGTTGCTAGTATTTGTTGGGGTGGTTGTTGTGCTCCCAAACAAGCCTCCACTAGCTGGTTTTGCCTAGCTCCCTCCAAACAAGCCACTGCCACTTGTACTCTGGCCCAATACTTTCCATTCCTCCAGGAATTCCAGTGGAATCCGACCAGAATACACAGGAATCCAACTGGAATACACAGAAAATCTCATTATGTATATATTTGGCTCTTCTCTTTTAGACGTACATTTTGGAACAGGGGAATTGACCAAAATAAACCAGTTCTTTACCCTCCCCGACATGCTCTGATCAGCATCAGCATTGCTGATCAACACTGAGCTAGAGACTTTATCTGCACTAATTCAACTCCTCAATACTCAAAATTTCTTATAAATTTCACACCCCAGGGATCTCAATAGATCAAATTTTAATGTACTTGATTGATGACATAAAATCTATTTA